GAGCCGGCCTGGAGCCCTGCCCCTGAGCCCCGCCCGATGAGAAACACTCCGTCCCAAGGTCTCCGCCCCCAAGGTCAGCCATCTGGACGCGGAGGGAGGGGGAATTGAGTCTGTTGTACCAGACACCAGACCTTGAGAATATGCTGATCTGGAATGGCTCTGTGTCTCATTTGAACCATCCAATAGAAATGATTCTGTATTTCGCCTCATTTGAAAGACTCTGTGTTTCACCTCATTTGAATAACTCCATATTTCGCCTCATTTGAATAACCCTGTATAGCGCCTCATTTACATTGACCAATGGGAATAGCTCTGTACAATGCCTCATTAGAATTATCCAATAGAATCCCTGCTCCTAGCTTGCGCCTTTTTCCCTATATAAGGACCCCTTTCCCTTGGCTCGGCGCGCTTAGCCACACAGAAGCTAAGTCGTCCCGGGTACCCGCGTCTCTAATAAAACCTCTTGCGGTTTTGCATCCAAGTCTGTGGTCTCGCTGGTTCCTGGGTGCGGGTCTCCTTCTACGAAAGTACCTCTTCGGGGGGCTTTCAGAAGAAATCAACATCACACTCTTAATGGGTTCTACATTCTCACCTACATTTATCCAGCACCTATATCCTCACCTACACATAACCTGTGCCTACGCCCTCACAGACACGTAGCCTATGTGTACACCCTCATCTACACACACCTGTGTCTACACTCTCACCTACACATCACCACTGCGTACACGCTTATGTACCATTGCCTACATCATCGTATAGCCTGAGCCTACAACCTCATCTCCACATAACCACCTGGATTTTTCTTGGGTAAAATTCAAAATGCAGCTGACCAATCTCCCTTGTCCCTAACAGTCCCTTGTCAAAGTGAAACATTTTTCCACTCTAGAGTCTATTCTAGCCCAGCATCATCCTCCACACACTCCTACTTCTCAAGCTCTTTGCTGGCTCTAAGATTTCGATTTCCTTTTTCATTGTGGGAATGGTCTGGGCTGTGGTTTCCACCTCTTATTTAACATTTAGACCTATACAAAGAGAGCCTTGCACGTGGTTTGCTAACCAAGAACGCACTCAACAATTCTGTTTCATTCTGACTCAGAGCACTTGCTAATAAACTCTGCTTTCCTCTGAGTGGTGAGGCAATGGCAGTCTTTTAACCAGCAGCTCTGTTAGTATTCAGGCGTCTGTACTGGCCTGCCCTTGGGGTTCTGACAGGATACGCCCTCAGCTGCAGCCACTAAGAGCACCACCTGTGCATATTCACTATGTTCCCCCCAGTTTTTTTTTCTTTTTTCTTTTTTGGTTTTTCGAGACAGGGTTCCTCTGTGTAGCTTTGGAGCCTATCCTGGAACTAGCTCTTGTAAATCAGGCTGGCCTTGAACTCACAGAGATCCACCTGCCTCTGCCTCCCGAGTGCTGGGATTAAAGGTGTGGGCGACCAATGCTTTAACTATGTTCCCTTTTAAAGGGGCCCTGGCCACCTCCCATCTCTGCCCACCTGCCTGCCTGCTTGCCTGCCTGCCTGCCTGCCTGTCTGTCTGTCTGCCTGTCTCTGTCTCTCCCTTCTCCCTCCCTTTCCCCCCTCTCTCTTTCTCTCCTACCACTCCTGTTTCCAGGGACCAGTCTCTGCCCCCCACCCCTGCCCCTTTTGCTGCTCCTTCTCTCTCCTCTCCCAATAAACCTCCTATGTGAATCCTGTTGCATGGCATGACTTCTCTTTGTGGCATTTTAAAACTTAACAACAGCGTCCCCATCTCAGAGCTTCCAAGGGTCTTAAGAACTCCACAGTCAGACAACAGGGAGGGGCAAGCAAGATGGCTCAGAAGCACAGCTGTCTCTTCCCAAGCTTGGCAAACTGAGTTCAAACCCAGGATGTGATGGGGAATTTACTGTGTATGTTCATCTTATTGATTATTGAATAAAA